ATATATTACACCCTTTGCCTAATATTGGGATTTGGCAATATTTATCCCAACATTGATTTAAAAGTAAAGTATTTCCTTGTTTGCTGCTTATGTAGATTAGGAAAATGACAGACTGAACTGAGTGAAGAATCAGTTCACGAGATTTTTCTATGGCGTTTTTGTCATCATTGCAGAACTGTGCTGTGTGTTCATTGGCACTTACACTCCTGCATTAGGAACATTCCAGAAAAGTATAGAATATCAAGATACAGTTAAAACCTCATTGATTAGCATTCCACCATCTAGTCTTTTCTAGCATAAAGTTTGATAACTGAAGTAATATTCATAATGCATAAATGATTTCATTGGATTTTCTTTCTTTTATAGCCTTAACAGCAAAGTATGTTATTGATATGTGAATTGGAGCATATGTATATTCACTTAAAGGGTATATAGATTTATAAATAAATATTATGTTTCATTGCCTAATTTTATCCTTACTAACTTACCCATATCTTTGTAAATATATACATATATATTCATTTTAAAGGAGTAAAATTACCCGATCCCACATCAGAAGAGATCCTCACTGTTGATTTTCTCTAACAGTACAGGGTACTATAGTGATACATAGATGAAAACAGTCCTGATTTTGAAGGTCTTCTACAATGGAAAGTGAAAGGTGAAAGGGCAAGAAATACAGTTAAAAGAATAATGTATCTATGTAAAGTTTAGTCTGCTTAGACAAGTATTCTTTGAATACTTGAGATAACAAGCCACTTCTTAATTATGACCCACATCTGACCTACTAGTTGTGCACAGCCAAGAACTTGACTCAGAGAAACTCCTAAAGCCAAGGAATAGGCAAGAATGGAGAACTTACCTAAAAACCTATCTCCTAGTTAGAAGATAAGGTTTTGTAGTACAAAGATAGAGAATTTATATAAGTAGAAGAGCCTTCCTAAAAATGTTGAGATGTTCTACAAAGGATCACATTAACTATATTACAGTCTTTCATTATGTCAACTACTACATTAAATTAAACATAAATTTAGGAAGATAAAACTTATAAAAATTCAAGATTATAACACATGAATTTCTGAAATATTTGTTCACTAATACACCTATGGGCCATTGGGACAGTTTATGCCTATAGTCCTAGCTGTTAGGTGGCAGAGGCAGGAGAATCTCTAGAGTTCAAGAGTTTGAGATTGAAGTGAGTTATGATGATACCCCTGCACTCTAGCTCAGATGACAGAGTAAGAACCTGTCTCAGAAAAAATGTATATGACTTAATACATATATATATACATAAATATACACACATGATGTAGAAAAAAGTCTAAATGTTCAAAGTCTCTGTGAGGATTCAATCTGCATTATAAAATATTCCGTAATATCTTATAGGTCTTTCTCATTATTAGAAAACATAGGTGTCTATGTATGTATATTTATGTTTCTTTAAAGTAGTAATGCAATACTTTTAATTTGGTGGGATGGAAACATGTGATGAGAACTCCTGTTGGAAAGTAAGGTTATGACCTATATGTTTCCACTAATGTTTCAAATGGGATGTCTCCAAAATGAATTTTGGAAGGCTTTTCTACAACAATACAGAGCTATAGATTTGTCATCAATATGTTTACTTTTACTGGTTGTATATTCT